ATATGGCATAAACCAGGTGTGGTAGTGCATGCCTTCAATCTCAGCACTTGGGGGGTAGAGGCAGGTGGATCTTGAGGCCAGCCTGGTTGACATAAGTGAGTTTCAGGCCAGCTGTGGCTACAGGGAGACCACAAAGAGACCAAAAAACCAAAGTACACACACACACACGCACACAATATATATGTATATATGTATATATATGGCATAAAATTTATATCATTTTAATGTATAATTTAATGGTATTAAGTACATTCACAGTGTTGTATAGCTATAAGCACTGTTCATTGCCAGAGCTTTTTTTCATCATGAAGTAGATTCTCTGAACCCATTAAGCAAAAGCTCCCCAACTCTCCTGTAACTGAGCTTCTGGTACTCTGTAATTTACTTTCTTTCTCCCCAAATACTGTGTTTTGTATAAGTGGAATTGTATAATTTTTTTGTCATTTTGTGACTGATTTATTTCACTTAGCATGTTTGTAAGGTCCATCTTTGTCATAGCATGTATTAGAATTTCATTTGGGGGGCTGTGGTTATAGCTCAGTGGTAGAGTGCTTGCCTGAGTGAGTCCTTAGGTTTGATTCTCAGTACCACAAATAAAACAATTTTTTTTTTCCTTTTCTTTTTTGAGATATGGTATCACTGTGTAGCCCTGGTTGGCCTGGAACTCGCAGAGATTGCTTGCCTCTGCCTCCCAAGTGCAGAGATTAAAGGCATGTGCCATCATGCCCAACAAAAAAAAATTTTTTGAAAATGTCTGTGTGTGTGTAGTTGTGTGTATGGGGGTGCTTATACCATGGCACATATGTGAAGGTCAAAGAATAACTTTTGGGAGTTGGTTCTCACCTTCTGCCATGTGGGTTCCAGGGATTAAACTCAGACCATCAGACATGGCAGCAAGTGCTTTTACCTGCTGAGTCATCTATCTCACAGGCCCCTTTTAAAAATACTAGCTATTCCCAGCCGGGTATAGTGGGGTAGCTGTTAATCTCAGCACTCGGGAGGCAGAGGCAGGCGGATCTCTGTGAGTTCAAGGCCAGCCTGGTCTACATAGTGAGTTCCAGTACAGCTGGGGCTACAGGGAGACCCTGTATCCAAAAAACCAAAAAAAAAAAAAAAAAAAAAGAAAAAGAAAAAAAAATTAGCTATTCCATTGTATGTAATACCCAGTCATTTGTTAGTGGACATTTGGGTTGCTTTCACCTTTTTGATTGTTGTGAATAATGCTACTTTGCGCAAGTATCTGAGTTCTACTGTTCAATTCTTCCATGTATAAATAAGAGTGGAATTGTTTGATCACATGGTAATTCTGGAAGGACTCTTCTAATTGGACCCAGAGATTGACACCATGCTGACCCAGAGTAGGAAATGGGTAGAAAGGAATACTCTTGATCTGATAGACTGACATACTTATAAGCGCATCTCTTTCCCTCATTTCAGGTTATGGAGCTAGGAGGTAAAAGTAGAAGTATGGTTGATGGAGACAAGGCGGATATGGGAGTTAGATAAAGGGTAGATTTATGTATTAAATGAATGAATGAATGAATTTATTTTTGGTCTTTTTGAGACAGGGTCCCCCTGTAGTCCCAGCTGGCCTGGAACTCACTATGTAGACCAGGCTGGCCTTGAACTCACAGAGACCCACCTGCCTCTGCCTCCAGAGAGCTGGGATTAAAGGCATGCACCACCATGCCCCAGCTATTTATTTTAAACCTCCTTAAAATAGATTTCTGAGTATTGTTTCTGTTTTATCACCTTTGGTAATGATCCAGAAGAAGCCACAGTCTGACAAAAATAGAACTGTTGGACATGGTGGTACACACCTGTAATCCCAGCATTTGGGAGGTGGGGGTAGGAGGATCAGAAATTTAAGGTTATTGTCAACTTCATAATGAGTTTGAGGTCATCCTGGGCTACATGATACCCTGTCTCAAAAAAAAAAAAAAAAATGGGGACAACAAATGGCTCTATGGATATAGTGGGGAAAAGCAGGTCGAGGTTCCAGGATAGACTCTTTGTGGAGGTAGGGGCTCAGTGCGAACAGATCATATTTTATATGGGAACTGTCTTGGAGAAAGAAATGTTTGTGTCTCTTTAGGTGGCACTGTCAGAAGGAAACCAGATCTAAGGTTGTCACTGATAAAAATAGAAGCATCTTAAAACAGATAAATAAATAGTGGTTTAATTTTAACAGGTTTGGATGTCACTTAGAGAAGAGAATTCTTTTTGAGTGGTTCAGAAATCGATAACTGACGTAGAAGGGCTAGGTAAGAGAGTAGAAGATAAGTGTAGATTTATTCCAGTTTAAAGGTAAGCAGCAGACTGAGGGTAAGGATGGTGGTTGTTTGTGTGGAAAATGTGCTGGATCCACAGTTACTCAGTTCAGGGTAGGTTTTGTCCATGTGCTGACAAGGGCCTGCCAGTGTTGAGATTCTTAACCTGCTGTTTTTTCTCCAACAGGCGTGGTTTCTGTCTGTTTTGAGGGGGACAGTGATGGTTACATCAACTTAGTGGCATACCCTTATGTGGAGAGTGAGACTGTAGAGCAAGATGACACACCAGAGAGGGAGCAACCTCGGCGCAAACACTCCCGCCGGAGCCTGCACCGGTCAGGCAGCGGCAGTGACCACAAGGAGGAGAAAGCTAGCCTGTCCCTCGAGACTTCTGAGAGGTAAGGATGGGGTGCAAAGCTGCTGGTGCATGCTAGATCCTGATGATAGGATCTTGCAGGACAGCATTGGAGTCCTGGCATATTAGAAAAAGGCAGTTCTTCAGGGTGGGGAGGACCACTGATGTTCTTGGGCCACTCCCACAGGTGTGGCCTCCCTTATGTGTTTCATCACCTCAGGGGTGTCTCTTCTTGGCTATAGCTATAGCCAGTTGACAGACTGAACTCTGTCAGTCCTTAGGAAGCAGGGATGCCCTGTGCTGGTGACAACAGGTTGTTCAGCCTTTCTTTTATGTCCCATACTCATAAGACAGAATTGCACTGATGATTTACTTTCTGATGCCTAGAGTGTCTGAGCATGAGAGCAGTAATAGTCCACACAGATTGGGGTGCCATAGTGGTTTTTTTGTCCATTTTCTGAGTTCTGATATCAATAATCCCTTCCTTATACCTAAAATTGACAATGAGAATTAATTTTTCTCTTAGAATTTTGTCTCTTGTTATTTCATGTGACTATTAGTTAGCTTTGACTAGGTTGAGTATAAAACAAGGATAATAAAAGTATTGACAGGGACGTGGAGAAATTAGAACCTTCCTCTATTGCTTGCAGGGAGGAAGGCACAGTGGTACATTTTGGAAACAATTCTGCAATTCTTCAAAAAGTTAAACATGGCAGTCTGACCTGTAGGTGTATACCTAAGAGTATTGAATACATATTTTCACACAAAACTTGTTCAAAAATGTTCTTAGAATGTGGAGACAGCCTTATTTATTTATTTTTTTGGTCTTTTTCAGACAGGGTCTCCCTGTAGCCCTGGCTGTCCTGGAACTCACTATGTAGACCAGGCTGGCCTTGAACTCACAGAGATCCACCTGTCTCTGCCTCAGGAGTGCTGGGATTAAAGGTGTGTGCCACCACACCCAGAAAGACAGCCTATTTCTGTCAACATGGATTAACAAAAGATGGTGTGTCCCTATAGGGGAGTATTTTTCAGCCATAAAAAGAAACCGAAAGCTAGGCATGGTTACATACTCTTGTAATGGAAGATCACCATGTATTTTAGGCTAGCCAGAACTGCATAGTGAGACCTTGTCTCACAAAAACCAAAAACAACAATAAAGCAATATTGACAACATGTTAAAACACTGAATCTTGAAAACATTATGGAAGAAGCCAGACACAAAAGAACATAGACTGATTCTGTTTATGTAGAATGTTGAGAATAAGCAAAGCAGTAGAGGAAGCTGGTTACTGCTTGCTTGTTTTAGAGGTTAGGGTGAGGGCATGGGGAATAGAGTGACTGCTGATAGTGGCAAGGTTTGCTTTTGGAGTGGAGAAAGGTGGTAGTGATGTTTCAAAACCATATGACTGGAAAAACTACTGAATACTAAAAATACTAATAAAGCTAATGTGAGCTTCGTAGAACAAAGTAAAATAAAAGCTATACAGTTGGGGCTAGAGAGATGGCTTAGGGGTTAAGAATACCGACTGCTTTTGCAGAAGACCCAGGTTCAAATCCAAGCACCCACATGGAGGCTGTTCATAACTCCAGTTCCAGGGGAATCTGATGCCCTCTTCTGTCCTCTGCAGGTACTGCAGAGCACAGGTCTACTTACATGCAGGCAGTAAGTACACTCATATACACAAAATAAAAATAAATTAAATCTTTTTTTTTTTTTTCAGTCTTTGTGAGAAAGGTCTCCCTGTAGCCCCAACTGGCCTGAAACTTGCTATATAGACCAGGCTGGCCTTGAACTCACAGAGATCCATCTGCCTCTGCCTTCCAGGTGGTGGGTATAAAGGCGTGCGCCACCATGCCTGGCAAATAAAACTTTTTAAAAACTGTACAATTGGGGCTGGAGAGATGGCTCAGCGGTTAAGAACACTGGCTGCTCTTGCAGAAGACCCGGGTTCAAATCCCAACACCCACATGGCAGCTAACAACTGTCCATAACTCCAGTTCCAGGGGATCCGACAGCCTCTTCTATCCTCCTTGGGCATTGCATGACACAGGTGCACTTACCTACATGCAGGCACATTAAAAAAAAAAAAAAACTGTACAATTATATTACATTATGTTTAATTTCCTGCAAAAATAAGCCAGATGTATTGATTCACATCTGTAACACCAACTAAGAGAGTTGAAGGACAGCCCAGGATATAGAGTTACAGACCCTCTTAAGCTACATAGCAAGATTTTTGTCTTAAGATAGTGTCAGGGTGGGACTGGAGAGATGATTCAGTGGTTAAGAGCACTGAGTGTTCTGGTAGCGGACCTGGGTTTGATTCCCAGCACTGACATAGTAACAACTGTCCATAACTCCAGATCCAGGGGAATCCATGGATATTGCACAACACGGGTGCACTTACATACATTCACACAATACTTGGATGTTCCCTGTAGCCCCAGCTGACCTGGAACTTGCTATCTAGACCAGGCTGGCCTCAAACTCAGAGATCCACCTGCCTCTGCCTCCCAAGTGCTGTGATTTAAAGGCATGTGCCACCATGCCCAGCATAATAAAAAAAATTTTTTTTTAACTTCTTTTAAAAAGAAAGTGTCAGGGGCACTGGAGAGTATGGCACAGCAGTTAAGAGCACTGGATGCTCTTGCAGAGAACTTGGGTTTGGTTCCCAGTACCTACATGCTGGCCAACAACCTCCTGTACTCCAGTTTCAGGGGACCCAGTGCCCTCTTCTGGCCTCTGTGAGCATTGCATGACAGATACATTTACCATGCAGGTAAAACACTCACACATATAAAATAAAAATAATAGTTTTTGGTTTTTTTTAAGTCATCTTTACTCTTTTTTTTTTAGAGACAGGGTCTCCCCAGCTATCCTGGAACTCACAGAGATCCACCTGCCTCTGCCTCCCAAGTGCTGGGACTACAGGTGTGCACCACCATGCCCGGCTCCAATAATAGTTTATAAAAAAGGAAAGAATGTCAGTGAGAAAGATGCTCTGTAACTTGATTCTGAAGTTGAATTTGGGGGACTGGAAGGGTACCTCAGTGGTAGAATGCTTGCCTGGAATGTGTGAAGCTCTGTGTTCAATTCCTCAGAACTATAAAATAGTTAAATGAAAAAATTGAAATCTGGACTTACTTATTTTTGTGACAGGGTTTCATGTGTCCCAGAATGGCCTCAAACTCACTATGTAGCCAAAGATGACCTTGAATTTCTGATCCTCCTGCCTATACCTGCTGAGTGCTGGATTTACAAATGTGGCCCCAGCTGGCCTGGAATTCACTATGTAGACCAGGCTGGCCTGGAACTCACAGAGATCTGCCTCTGTTTCCTGAGTTCTGGGATTAAAGGTATGTGCCACCATGCCCAGCTAGCTCCTAGAGCTTTCTTCAGGGCCCGTGGTGGTCCACTCTTCTCACTTGGGCTTTAAGAGATTCTATTCCTGGGGCTGGAGAGATGGCTCAGTGGTTAAGAGCATTGACTGCTCTTGCAGAGGAGCCAGGTTCAATTCCCAGCACCCACATGGCGGCTATGAACTGTCCTTAACTCCAGTTCCGGGGGAATCCAAAGCGCTCTTCTAGCCTCTGTGGCATTGCATGACACGGGTGCACTCACATACTTGGAGGCAATCACTCATACACATAAAATTAAAAAAAGTAAAAGAGAGAGAGATCCTATTCCTGTCAAGAAGCATGGCAACCCTACATAGGTCTCTGGCTGTTTGTGAATATGTTTCCCCACCCTTAGTCAGCTGTCCTCTCTGGCCAGGTCTGTGTCTGTGGCAAAGAGAGGGCTGTGCATCCATGTCTTAGAAAGTTATGTTTCTAGGAGTTGATCATTCCATGGACTCTTGCCTACAGAGGCACTTCCTGTAGTTCATTGTCTTCGTTCCTCAAGGGACTTCCTCCTGACTGACAACTGTGGGATCTAACTTATCATTTGTGTAGCATGGAATGTTCCTCCTAGTCAGTAGTTAGCAATTAATGATTCTCTTTTTTGCAGCTCTTTAGTGGGCATTGTTTTGTTCTCCAAAGGCACAACATTTATTTATGAGTCATCTGGTGAAAAGCCAGTGACCAGACTTAACTTGAGGGTCTGCTCATGAAGATGACAGCTCTGTCTACAATGACCATATTTCTGTCTGGCCTGCTGGCAGAAACTCTGAGTCATTCCATGATGGAGACTACTTACCAGGGCCAGAGCTGCAGCTGCATAGGAGCCAAGTACCATAGGAGCCCTCTCCAGACCTGAAAATTGTTGGATTTCCTTGGGAAATAAGTGTTTCCTAATGTGGACCACCAAAAAAACATCTGCAGTGTTTCCCCAGAATTGGGGAGGATATCAGGCATTGGTGGATACCTGTAGTGTAGTTCAGGAGAAATGTGGTGTTTGCCAAGGCCTCTGAACAGTTGTCACAGAGGTGTCCCAAAGGAGGGGCAGCACTTTGAGCATACACTGCACCTGCTGGTTACTGTGCATCATTCCACAGTTGGTGGAAAGGCCAGTAGTTCTGAGGCTGAAATTGCAGGTGGGCAACCATGCTGCCCATCATTTACATGGGTTTTGGGAATCCGAACTCCGGTCTACACTTGTTTGGTAAGCACTTTAACTACTGAATCATCTCCTCAGCCCCCTGTTTTTTTATTTTATTTTATTTTACCTACTACTTTACTTTACTTTTTTTTTTTTTTTTTTTTTTTTAGACAGGGTCTCCCTGTAGCTCTAGCTGACCTGGAACTCACTATGTAGACCAGGCTGGCCTCGAACTCACAGAGATCGCCTGCCTCTGCCTCCCAAGTGCTGGGATTAAAGGCATGCGCCACCACACCCGGCCAAGTTTTTAATCTTTATGCTCAAACTCAGAGCATCTGCCTCTTCCTCCCAAGTGCTGAAATTAAAGGCATGTACCATCACAGCCAGCCTTGGTTTGTTTTTTAATTTATTTTTGATGTATATGAGTGTTTTCCCTTGAGTGTATGGAAGTGCACCCGTGTTGTGCATTGCCTACAGAGGCCAGAATAGTGTATCCAATGGATGATTTTTATCTGCCTTGTGGGTGCTGGGAACTGAAACTGTGCCCTCTTCAAGAACAGCCAGTGCTCTTAACTGCTGAGCCATGTCTCCAGTCCTCCCCAATCCCCTTTTATTGTTTTTTTGGGGGGGGTTGTTTGTTTATTTCTGAGACAAGGTCTCACTTATGTCATCCTTGCTGACCTGGAAATCTATGTAGTCACCAGGCTGGCCTGGAATTCCCTACATAGAGCAAACTGGCTTCAATCTTAGAGATTCACCTCCCTCTGCCTCCAAAGGCATGTGCCACCATGCCTGGCTTGGTTTCTTTTATAAAATGGGATTTCAGCTAATGTTGCCTAGGCTAGTCCTTGATCTAAATTCCTGTGCTCAAGCAGTCCTGCCACTATAGCCTCTTGAGCATCTTGGTGTGCACTTGTCCTGTTAGGACACAAAACTACTCTTTACAGGGAGGGGCTGTATCATTTTTCATTTACCCTAGCAGTGTACAAGGGTTCCAGCTTCTTAACTTTTTCTAGTTTTTTTTTCTTTTTTAATATTTAAATTATTGTGTGTGTATGTACATTCATGATAATGTGTATGTGGTGTGCATACCACAGCATGTGTGTGTAAGTCAGAGGGTAAGTTTATGGAGTCAGTTCTCTCCTTCCACCATGTAGGTCCCTGAGATCCAACTCTAGCTGTCAGGCTTCTGCAGCAAGTACCTGCTGGTCTATCCTGCTGGCCCCCAGTTTTTTCTTTGTATGTGCTATTTGTGAAGTAGAATCATTACAATTTTTTTTTTTTTTTTGTGGTCTTTTTTGAGACAGGGTCTCCTTGTAGCCCCAGCTGTCCTGGAACTCACTATGTAGACCAGGCTGGCCTTGAACAAAGATCCACCTGCCTCTGCCTCCTGAGTGCTGGGATTAAAGACGTGTGCACCACCACGCCCGGCATCATATTATTTGACACAGTGATTTTTCAGGCAGTTTTCAGAGGCACGAAAAGAATGGTATTCATACCATTACTCACTTTTATTTATTGACTGGTGTGTCTGGGGCTCTTCACCACCTGTCATCAGGGTCTGGGTGACAGGCCAGGGTTGATCCAGTCCTTCTCTGTCCTGGGTCCCTGAGGATGGCTTGGCCAGACTGTTGGTGATATATGTGTTCTTTCTTCTCAGCTCCCAGGAGGCCAAGAGTCCAAAGGTGGAGCTTCACAGCCATTCAGATGTCCCTTTCCAAATGCTTGACAGCAATAGTGGGCTGAGTTCTGAGAAGATCAGTTACAACCCCTGGAGCCTGCGCTGCCACAAGCAGCAGCTGAGCCGCATGCGCTCTGAGTCCAAGGACCGAAAGCTCTACAGTATCCTTGTCTACTGATTTGAAATTTTTCTGAGAAAAATGGCAAGATAATTTTGTTTTTGTTTATTTGGTCTGGGAATTGAATCTAAGACTTCATGCATACCCAAGCATGTGCTTTACCACCTAATTAAACCTTGATAGATATTTTTAGTGTTTTTATTAGTGTATGTTAGCTATAATAGGTTTCCTTATGACATTGTTATCTGTGTACATGATGTATTTTGATCATACTCACCTGTAACACATTCTGGTCCCAAACTCCTTCCTCTTCCCAACTAGTCTCATTTCTACTTTCATATCGTGTGTGTGTGTGTGTGTGTGTGTGTGTGTGTGTGTGTCCCAAATGAATTTCATTGGGATTGTTTACAGAAGCATGAGTACCTTACACCACTGAAGAAAATGTCTCTTCCCATCAACCGTTAAGGAAGTATAAATCCTCAGAGAGAGGTAGGGCCCTAAGAATACCTCTTCCTTCCACCACAGGGTGAGAATCACAGTTGTTGTGAGTTCAAGAGAGCAATAACCATGTCATGCATTCTACTCCACTTCTTTTCTCTGGCTCTTACATCTTAAAAAAACTTTTATATTCTTTGACAGTTTCATACATGTATATAATGTATTTTGATCATGTTCATCCCCACTCTGCTCTTTTACCTCTCCCACTCCCACTGGAACCCTTCTTCCCAATCTGTCCCTCTCCTACTTCCATTTCTTTTAAAATAACCCACTGAGTATAATGAGGGTGCTTGCATGTACATGGCTGTGGAGCTACTTACTAGATGACTTAGGAGTGGCCCTGAAGAAAAATAACCATTAACTACCAGTAGGTCCTTGCTAGGCCCCATGTGCTGTTCTCCCATCCATGCTCCTATCTTGGGAAAGGTAACCACAGCTTCTGTGAGTTCATGAGTGCAACAGCCATGTGCCCCTCCCTCATCCATGCTGGAATGTTGATAGGGTCAGTCTTATGCAGGCTTTGTGCAAGTAACCACAGCTGCTATGTTCATGAATATAGTGGCCATGTGTCCCTCCCCCATGCTGGAATGCTGACATGCTCAATCTTGTGAGGTCTTGTGATCTTATGCAAGTCCTATGCCTCTTGTAGCACAGCTGCTGAATTCATCATTGCGTTGACCATGTCATGTTCAGAAACCACGTCCCCCAGCCCTCCTATCCTGCCACTTTTTTTTTTTTTTTTTTTTTTTTTTGTCTTTTTGAGACAGGGTTTCCCTGTAGCCCCAGCTGTCCTGGAACTCACTATATAGACCAAGCTGGCTTTGAATTCACAGAGATCCGCCTGCGTCTGCCTCCTAAGTGCTGGGATTAAAGGCATGCGCCACCACGCCCGGCTATCCTGCCCCTTTTACAATCTTCCTACCCCTCTTCAAATGTTCTCCACAAGTGTTCTCTGAGTCTTGGAAGTGTACCATTTATGGCTAGGCATTGCACGGTCATTTATTCTCACCAAGATAAATACTTAAGCCTAGCATTTTCTGAAAATTCTTACTGGAAACGTGAGAATCTGATATCTTATTTTTTGTAATAGTGCTGAAAAGATGTCTTCCTATTTCTTAGGTCTAGGTGAGGTGCTAGCCTAAGTAGAACCTTGGTTTATTAATGGTGACAGAGATGTAGCCAAATATTCTTTGGCTTATTGTATGTAAGGTAGATCCAAAGAATTATAACTAAAACTAGATGTGGTAGTTTATGCCTGAAATCTCAGCACTCTGTAGGTGGAAATAGGAGAATCAGAAGTCCAAGGTAATCCTTGCATTGTATTCCAGGCTGTTTGATACTAACCTGGTATCATGTAATCCTGTCAAAATAAAGGTCTGAGTTGATAGCTCAGTCAGAAAAAGTACCTACTGTGTAAGCATGAAAACCTGAATTCAGATCCGCAGAACCCAAATAGAAAGCCAGGCTTCGCTTGTAACCCAAGTGCTGTGGTTGGGAGTAGCAGAAGATACGGGCAGATTATTGAAGCTCATTGGCTAGTCAGCCTAGCTGAGTCATTGAGCTTCAAGTTCAGTGAAAGACCCTGACTCAACAAATAAAGGTGAAGTGCAATTAAGGAAAGACACCTGACGTGTCTAGTCTGTACACACGTACACATACACCAAACAAATACATAATACCTACCACACATACATACAACCACACACACCCCCAAAATAAAAAACAGATGTCTTATATATGAAGGGGCTGTGAAATAGTGTTCCTGTGGCTTTAAAAATATGCTTGGTAAATTTAGTCAAACCTTGGACATGTGTGCCTGGAGAGCAGGAACGCCTGCTGAGGTGTTACCTCCGGGATGCTGGTACTCCCCTAGTTTCTCAGGATACAGTTTTATCTCTCAAGGCAAATTATGGTGGAACTGTTAATCCTGGTCATTATATTTGCTTAGCTGCTATATTCTAGCCTCTTTTATTATTCACTATTCTGTAAACATTCAACTATAGCTCTAATGGGTATAAGTATAAAAACAAGAGTTGCCTGTGCTTTTGGCACTCGTGCATGGATAAAAAAATGAGTAAAGAAATAAGGGCTGGAGAGATGGCTCAGCGATTAAGAACACTGACCCAGGTTTGAATCCCAGCACCCACATGGCAGCTAACAACTGTCCATAACTCCAGTTCCAGGGGATCTGACAGCCTCTTCTGTCCTCCGTGGGCATTGCATGACACAGGTGAACTTACCTACGTGCAGGCAATACACACATACACATAAACTAAAAATAATAAAATATTTTTAAAAAGACAAAAGGTAAAGAAATCAAACCACACAAGTCCCCTGGTCTTATTTCAGTTCCGTGTAATCCATTCAGATCCCATGGCTGCCCCCATGGCAGCCATATATATATACACACTATAGAAAATTATATGTACCTACATAGAATGAAATTCTGACACATTATATGACATGAGTGAATCTTGAAAACATTTTACTAAGTGAAATAAGCCTGATACAAAAAGGACAAATGCTGGAAGATTTCAGCAAAATGAGATGCCTCCAATAGACAAATTCCTAGACACAGAAAGTAGAATAGAGGTTTCCTGGGGAGTAGAGAAAGTAATGGACAGTTAGTGTTCAGTAGGTACAGAGATTGAGTTTGGGGTGGTGGAAAAGTTCTGACATAGATGGTGGTAGTGGCTACATGGGATTGTGCATGTACTAATGCCCCTGACTGGTGTGCTTAAAAATTATTATAATGGCCGGGCGTGGTGGCGCACGCCTTTAATCCCAGCACTTGGGAGGCAGAGGCAGGCGGATCTCTGTAAGTTCAAGGCCAGACTGGTCTACAAACAAAACAAAACAAACAATATATATATATATATGTGTGTGTGTGTCTTTTTGAGACAAGGTCTCCCTGTAGCCCCAGCTGTCCTGGAACTCAGTATGTAGACCAGGCTGGTCTCAAACTCACAGAGATCCACCTGCCTGTGCCTCCCAAGTGCTGGCACCACCATACCAGATAGTAATGTTTTAGGTAGTAAAGTTTTATATTTTACTACAAAATTTGTTAAAGCCAGAGATTTGACACCTCCATTTGAGTTTGTGAGCTAAATATCTCTTACAGTGGACCAAAGTGCCACATTTTTTTGTATTTTTGAGCTAGGTTTTCCTTCTAGCCCCAGTTAGCTTGGAACTCACTATGTAGACCAGGCTGACCCTGATCTCACAGAGATCCGCCTGCCTCTGCCTCCTGCTGGGATCAAAGACATGTGCCACCATTCCTAACTCAGAATGCCACTTTTTTTTTTGTCTTTTTGAGACAGGGTCTCCCTGTAGCCCCAGCTGTACTGGAACTCACTATGTAGACCTGGCTGGCCTTGAACTCACAGAGATCTGCCTGCCTCTGCCTCCCGAGTGCTGGGATTAAAGGCGTGTGCCACCAAGCCCGGCCCAGAATGCTTTTAGTTGTGCTTTTGGATGGGGGTTGACAGTGAGTGAGGTTGTTACTCTTCTTGACTCTGGCCCAGAATTCCTGCTGCTTGAGAACGTGGTCCACCACTTCAAGTACCCTTGCGTGCTGGACTTAAAGATGGGTACCCGGCAGCATGGGGATGATGCCTCAGCTGAGAAGGCGGCCCGGCAGATGAGGAAGTGTGAGCAGAGTACATCTGCTACGCTGGGGGTCAGGGTCTGTGGCATGCAGGTGAGTCACCACTGCTGAGAGCCCAGGTGCTGCTGCATGCATGTTTTAGGTTGTGCCCATACCTGTGTGCCACCTGTGTCCTGGCCTGCACTGTTCCAGATTCTCTTCTGAAAGGGTGAGTCAATCACAGGGTGCTGAGTATCTTGCAGATGGGTTCATTGAGCCCTATTGTCCTTATTTCTTGACCTTGATTGAGCTCAGTATACAGGGTCATTGAGAGAGCCCATTTCCTTGTCACTGGGGCAAGTAAGACTTGTTTGTTGATACTGTGCTCCCAGTTAGCATCTGGTCTCAGAACAGCTTGGAGGTGAGCTTCTAAAGTAATGGCTATAGGCCTGATACTGGCTTTCACAGCTCCATGACGGGAAAACCAGGGGTAAATGTGGCCTCCCTGCTCCAGTAGGAGGAGCTGAAGAGCTCAGGTTCGTCAAAGTGCCTTCCAGACCATTTTTTTTGCCAGGGGCACTTTGTGGCCATCAGATCTCCCTGGTGCTCACCTTGTCTGTCTCCTGGGGTTTCAGGTGTACCAGCTGGACACAGGTCATTACCTCTGCAGGAACAAGTACTATGGCCGTGGGCTCTCCATTGAAGGTTTCCGCAACGCCCTATATCAGTACCTGCACAATGGCCTGGACCTGCGACGTGATCTCTTTGAGCCTATCCTGAGCAAACTGCGGGGCCTCAAAGCTGTGCTGGAGCGGCAGGCCTCCTACCGCTTCTATTCCAGTTCTCTGCTTGTCATCTATGATGGCAAGGAATGCTGGTCTGAGCTGCGTCTCAAGCACCTGGACATGGGGCTCCCTGAGGTGGCACCATCCTGTGGCCCTAGCAGCAGCAATCCTGAGGCTGGCCCCTCCTCTCCACCCAAGGTGGATGTCCGCATGATTGACTTTGCACACAGCACATTCAAGGGCTTCCGGGATGACCCCACTGTGCATGATGGGCCAGACAGGGGCTATGTGTTTGGCCTGGAGAATCTCATCAGCATCATGGAACAGATGAGGAACGAGAACCAGTAGGCCCAATTCTGGGCCCCTTCATCTACACCCACAGGCAGGGACCATTGCTCTGAACTTGCCTTGAGGACACACAGACTTGCTTTTAAAGGGTTATATTTCTCTTTGGTGTAAACTAAAAGAAATGTTTTTAGCTGTAGCCTGGAATCCATATATATAAAGTAAAGGAGGACAGAACATACGTTCTCTCAGCCAGGCGCCTTAGCTCTGTGGCTCTGACTGCTGTGTCCAGGCTGACTCAGGAAGGAAGAGGTGGCCCTGGTGGGCTTGGCCACAGAGACAGAATGCCCTTGGACTTTGGTGTCTCTTGCCTAAGGTCTTTAGGGGTCTGTGGCTGCAGGGCCCGGCTGATTGTGAGGTGATACCCTTGGCTAGCACAGAGTCTCTCAGTGTCTACTCATCCCTTGTTTCCCAGAAATGGAGAAAGTCTTGGGGCCTTTTCAGTTTTGTGCTGTGGGCATCAGCCAGCTTTTGAGCAGATGTCCTCAGGGTACCACAGGGCTAACTGGATGGACCCATCCTTGGGTCTGATTTTGGCATAGGGCTAGATTGGTGAAACTGAGTTGAAGTCAGCTCACAGCAGAGGACAGGCCCTGGGCTCCCTAGGCACCCACTGGCATGTAAACCTGCTCTTTCCACAACCCTGTCCAGCCTCTCACCAAGATCCTTTGCCTAAGGAGGCCACATAATCTTCCTGCCCCAGGAAGGAGGCCACATCTTTGCTGAGGAGAGTCAGTGTCCCAGTAGGCTTTGGGCCTTTAGTGGCTCTGGCCCAGACAGTATTTGCAGTTCTTGGGCTTTGGGTGGGTGTCCCCTCTAGTTTGGGCAGCTGTGCTGCCTCTGGGTGGGCTGCTCCTCCCAGTCAAGGGTTGTGGTTGGCTCAGGGTCTTGCACTTCTTTAAGCCAAGCTCAAGGCAGCAGCCCATTATAAGGTATTCTAGGCCCTGGGTTTGGAGGGAGAACTTTAAGTGTGTCTGCTTTTAGGGACATTGGGCCCTGGGTACAAGGTGCCCAGATTTTGCTGAGAGCTTTGTCTGATTAATCCTGGGGTCTGTCAGTATGTCCATTTGTCCCCCTGTTTTGTGGGGAGCTGTCTGGAGTATAGCCTTGCTCAGTAGTATATATTGATTTCTATCATGCTTTCCTTAGCAAAATAATCTTTCCCTTTTGTGAGGTGAGCTTTCGTCATGCCCTCCCTCCACTCCCCTAGCAGATGCTGCCATTTTACAAACCTGGTAGCAGAGTAAATTGTAGATGGTGTTTCTCTGCTGGCCCAGCAGCCTTCCTGTGGGTCTAGGGTACAGCCTTCAGCACTGATTGTGGGGCATGAAGGTTAAGGGGTGACCCTGAACAGTTTTTGTTTTAACTTTTGCTATCAGCCCTTTAATGACAGAGACCTGTGCAGGTTACACTACACTTAGCCATTGCCAAGGTTCTCCAAGTCTGTGGCCACTGTCATCACTTTGGGCATGTCTCCGTTTTGGCATCAGAAGATAATCCTGTCATCCTTTGAGAGAAACTGATAACTGATGGTGTGTAATTTCTCACTTTTTAGAGATACAACCTCTGAAATGGGCTCCTTGATGGAGCCCAGTCTTGGTTTCTGACCCTGATGCCAGTGATGGGCAGGTTTCCATTCCTTAGGGCTGAGAAGCATAGCTTTGCCTATTTCTGGTCAGTAACAACCATCTCTCCTGTGATAGTCTGTGGCTTCTGCCGAGGGAGTCTTCATTAGTGTAGACAGTCTTTTCTGACAGCATAGAGAATAAGACAGAAGGTTTAGGGACAATGGAGACCTGTGCTTCCCCAGTTCCCAGATTTTGGGAGATGCTGCCCCATTCTGCTGCTGTCATAGCAAGGGAGGCTGTACTTACCTACTTACACTGTGTGTTCTGCCACTACAGAGTGAAAGGGCTGGGATTTGCTGCTTCTCCCCCAGGGCAAGGTCCCACTTTTCAGCACTTTTGATACCTGGAGACACAGCCCTCTTATCTGACAGGTGGTGGCAAGTGTGTGCACACTTTCTACCACTGCTCTTCTACCTGTCCCAGGCTGGAGCCCTGTTCCTGACAGGCCCTGCCTTCCCAGCCTCAAATAGGGACCAAAGTGCAACTGGGGATCATGGGTTGGAGAGTTCAGGTCACTCTCTCCATAGTATTTCCCAGGGCCAAACCCACACCAGCCCCAGGGAGATGGGTGGGAGTGGGACAGGACGGGTGGTGCTTAAAGAGGGGACCAGTGTAGCAACTTGCCAATGACTCCACCTTATCCCCCTTTGGGCCTGTGCAATGGGCGTGAGGAGTCTCATCTAGGGGCCAGGGGCCTGGGCTAGTTCAGTACCTGCTGCTCACACGCTCACACCTGGCCACATGCACGTTCCCTACCTGCAGATTGCTTTGAACTTTACAGCTATACAACTTGGTTATGTGTGTGCCCATTTGAAAAAAAAAAATACGTTTTAATGAGGAGGAGAACCCTGGGAAAAACCTGGTTTCTTGCTTCTTAGGGGTTAATGTAAGACTTAGAATTCGGGAATCGCTCTCTGCTCTTTCCTGGAAGCTACACCTGCACATACACCCCGAGGCCAACGCCTGGATACCACGTGGCTCCATAGGCGTACGGGGTCGCTTGCGTTTTCCTGGGTCTTGTGTGTGATGGAGAGGGGTGCTCAGCCCGAGCCAGCCCCTTTTCTGTATACCTAGCGCTACTCGTCCCGCTTGTGTCAGGTCGTATATGTCAAAATAAAGCGTCTAGAAACTGACTTTTGTCCACGTCTCTAAAAAAATTCCAGTTTGCGCTCTACGCGGAGCTGAGGGATGGTGCCGGCGGAGCCCGCAGGGCGGAGCGGGAGGCGGCGGATCCGGATCTGATAGGGAGCCAGGGCCAGCTTGGCGCCAGTTCCGTCCCTGGATCCGCCAATGGACATCTGACCCGCGGGTTCCATCCGAGTCCCCATGGCAGCCCGGCGCTTTGAGGCGCTCATTGGCTACGTCTGCCGTAGAACCGTGCCCAGCGTGCGGGCGGCCCTGCCACGTAGACAGCAGCCGATTGGCCCTTCCGGGTTACGTCACTGGCTGCACCGCCTCCAGCAGGAGTTCCGGGCCTGCGGGTCTACAAACTAGCGTCTTCTGGGTTCTGGGTGCCGGTAGACCCTCCCCGCAGCAAAGCAGAGCAGGTGTACGAGCTACAACGAGCGGTCGGTCTGGCTGGTGAAGGGCACGGGGCAGGGTATAGCGACGGTGGTGCGCCGCAGGGGTCGGTCAGGCGGCCTGCAGGTACCTCGGAGCCAGGGACTCACTCCCGGCACCGACGGGCGCGATGAAGGCACTGATTTTAGTGGGTGGCTATGGGACGCGACTACGGCCGCTGACGCTGAGCACCCCGAAACCACTAGTGGACTTCTGCAATAAGCCCATCTTGCTGCACCAAGTGGAGGCGCTTGCCGCGGTAAGGCCCTGGGTCATATATGGCGGGAAGGGGCCAGAGGTGGCTATGCCTTCGGACCGAACTCGCCAATTGGCCTACCTTTGTCTAACAGGCAGGTGTGGACCACGTAATCCTGGCTGTGAGCTACATGTCACAGATGTTGGAGAAGGAAATGAAGGCTCAGGAGCAAAGGGTGAGGCATGGACCCAGCCCGTTCTTTTGGCCTCTGAGGTTCAACTTCCTGTTCAAAGGAGAGTCTGACAAGGTGGCTTTTCCCTTTCAGCTAGGAATCCGAATCTCCATGTCTCATGAAGAGGAGCCTTTGGGGACAGGTCAGTGGAGACAGAAAGGCACCTTGTCCAAGATTTAGGGTCAGGAAAGGGGTACGACCCAACCTGGATGGGGGCTCAGGCCCCTAGCAAGGTGGTGACCAGTGACCTGTTCCCTTCCCCAGCTGGGCCCCTGGCACTGGCCCGAGACTTGCTCTCTGAGACTGCAGATCCTTTCTTCGTACTCAACAGTGATGTGATATGTGATTTCCCCTTCCAAGCTATGGTGCAGTTCCATAGGCACCATGGCCTGGAGGGCTCCATCCTGGTAAGGGACCAGGTCTTCCTTCTCAGTCATCCCCAGTCTCATGCCTAGTCTCCCCTGATACCCAATCTTAAACTATCTCCTTATGGATGCAGAACTGTAGGAAGAGCCCTTGAGACTTGGGACAGCATGTGTATCAAGGCTAAAGGAACATTGGACTAGGTCTAAGGTTCTCCTCACCCCCATATTCAGGTAACCAAGGTGGAAGAACCTTCCAAGTATGGTGTGGTGGTATGTGAGGCTGACACAGGCCGAATTCACCGTTTTGTTGAGAAGCCGCAGGTATTTGTGTCCAATAAGATCAATGCAGGCATGTACATCCTGAGCCCTGCTGTGCTGCAGCGCATCCAGGTGTGTTGGAGACAACTGATGGGTGGGCTGGGGTGGAGCAGGCCTCTGTTGCCATTACCTGCTCACAAGCTGCCTACTTCCACAGCTGCAGCCTACGTCCATTGAGAAAGAGATCTTTCCAGTTATGGCCAAGGAGGGGCAACTCTATGCCATGGAACTGCAGGGTGAGGCAGGGAGACCTCAGGGTGGGGGTAGTCTGTGGGTGGGGAGAACCCTTTGATTCATCCTTCTTTACAGGCTTCTGGATGGACATTGGACAGCCCAAGGATTTCCTCACTGGCATGTGCCTCTTCTTGCAATCACTGAGGCAGAAGAATCCAGAGCGACTATGTTCAGGCCCTGGCATTGTGGGGAATGTGCTTGTGGTGAGGTCCTTGCCCAGCCTGTTACTAATCCCTTCAGACTTGGGAGACAAATGAGCCACTCTTACTTTCCCCATCACTCTCAGGACCCAAGTGCTCGTATTGGCCAGAACTGCAGCATTGGACCCAATGTAAGCCTGGGTCCTGGCGTCGTGGTGGAGGATGGCGTGTGCATCAGGAGGTGCACGGTGTTGAAAGATGCTCATATCCGTTCCCACTCCTGGTTGGAGTCATGCATTGTGGGCTGGCGCTGCCGTGTGGGCCAGTGGGTAAGCCTGTGAACTGGGCTAGGTGGGGACAGGAGAGCAGGGAATGTATGTGCCTTGGTTAACAGGGCTTATCATCCCTCTCCCAGGTACGCATGGAGAATGTGACAGTGCTGGGCGAGGATGTCATAGTTAATGATGAACTCTACCTCAATGGAGCCAGTGTGCTGCCCCATAAGTCTATTGGGGAATCAGTGCCAGAGCCTCGTATCATCATGTGAGATATGTAGAGCTGGCCAAGTCCCCACTTCCCCATCAGCAGGTGTAGGAGTGACTTGACACATCAGAAGACCCTGGACTTGGTGCCATTTGTCTGGGGAAGACTGGATGAAGCTGGAGCCGTTAAACATTTGCTTTCTCATGGGGACATTAACTGAAAGGATCCCTGCTGGGCAGAACCCACAAAGCCTACTCCCTCAAGAAGAGCTGGGGCCAGGGCTGTATGGAATAATAATTTAATGCTCACTGTAGCCTGGACTGAAAGCCGAGCTCAGGCATAATTAGGGCTGTGGCTGGGTTCCCACCAGTGTGGCTACACACAGGCAAGGATGGAAAGAAGTGGTTGAATGGGGGTAATGGAGGACAGGGCCAAAGGAGCTCATAAATAGGGCTCAGCCTGGGTCTGGGATTGAGGGTGGAGGTTCCAGGATGGTGCAAGCTGTGTACATTAGATCTGCCTAGGCAGCTGAGGAGGTGGTACTTGTACTGGCTGCCTTGTCCCAATCCTCTACAGATACAATGGTGGCTTTGCAGAAGAAGCACTCCTTGTTGTTCATCAGGTGCTGGTTGATGCAGGCTCTACAAGAGGGGAGGGAAATGAAGACTGCCCTGTGTGTCCCTACTGCCTCCCCAAGTCCATGGGGACTACTTACTTGCAGGACTTATGGCCACAAGGCTGGAACACAGCAGAGATGGGGTGAGCATAGCAGATTGGGCAGAGGTCCTCTTCACTGGTGGGCTACAGGACAGAGAGTGAAGAGTGGGTTGGGGCTGGATACCTGTACCTACACTGCTGTGTACAAATGTATTCAGGTGGCACAGGCCTGTGTCATGGTCCCACTCACCAGGGATGCAGCTGCTGCCTGAGCAGATGCAGCAGTCAGGTGTGCCAACATCTGTTCTACCTGGGCCAGCTCCTCAGCACTGATATAATCCATATCTGGGTTAGTGGTAGGTGGTATCAGGCCGTGTGGCCCTTGACCTTCAGTGCCCCTTGAATATTCCCAGGCAGTGAATTTTTTGTTCTTGAAGATCCCGAACACCTCCCCTGTCCCACAATGGCCCACTTACAGCTCTGTAGAGAGAAGTGTTTCCGATCAGGGGCAGGAAGGGCAGTGCCAGGTGTTGGGGGCTCTGGCTGCCCCAGGAGATAGCATATGGAACGGAGCTGGAAGCAGGGATCAGCCAGGAGCACGGAAGTGGCTCGCTCTGTCCTAGGTGAGGGAGGGTCCTAGGTGAGGTAGTTTGTGGCAAGGCTTAATGCCTGTGTAAGTTATCTCTATGGCTGGTTGGGTGACAGTCTGTCCAGAGGCTTCGTTATTCCTCCATCCTTTCCATCTCTGCCACTTCCCAACCCTCTAAGTCCTGGGTCTCAATAAGGTCCTACATAACCCAAGTACCAGTTTAAAAGGGAGAGTTTTTGCCCCCAAGCCAGATGGCTTGAATTCGAGTCACAGAACCCATAGATAAAGAAAACTACTGCAAGTTGTTCTGACTTCCATGCAGTGCCTCACGCCCATAAATTAAAGCGGGGAAAGGGTGAGAATTTCACCTAACCCATAATACATTCATCCTTCAAAGTCACTTAAAGAACATTAGCAGTGAAAGCGCATCTGGACTTCTGCCGTTTTGCTTTTTAAAGAACAGGATTCCAAAGACAGGTTTGGATACTGGGGCCCTCTGGTGGCCGCGTATGGTCCTTGCGCTCCAGGGTATGTGGCTGCCCCGCCCCTTAACAGCGGGAGCCAATAGAAAACTGGATCCTCACCCTAGGGCAGCCACCTCCCGGCAGTACTTAAAAGCTGACCAGAAATGAGCTCAGAGGAGCTAGAGGGGCAGAAAGAATTGCGGCACCACCTCACAACCCTGGACCAGAAGAGCAGGAGCAGCCGGCCGCGTGAGTGGAGCTGGCATTGTGCCTCCCCAGCCATGGACCATCCCGCACAATTGGCAAGCCCGAGCAAACACAGGTGAGTCCAGGAGCTGTTGACTTGCAGAGCTGCCCCAGTTCTTCCCTGGTGTTGCTGCCATGACCTGGCTGGTGCTGCTCGGCACACTGCTGTGCATGTTGGGTACTGGATCAGGCACCTCAGACTTGGAAGACATTCTGCCTCTTGCTCCCCACAACTGCCCCAATAAATGCATCTGTGCTGCTGACGTCCTGAGCTGTGCCGGCGTTGGGTTGCAGGACCTGCCGACAGCATTATATGCCACTACTGTAGATCTCGACCTAAGCCACAACGCCCTCAAGCGCCTGCGCCCTGGCTGGTTAACACCCCTCTCCCGGCTGCGTGCCCTACACCTAGGTTACAATAGGTTGGCTATGCTGGGCCATGGTGTCTTTGCCAATGCCAGTGGCCTGAAGTTACTTGATCTATCATCTAATGTGTTGCGGAAGCTGCGAACCCATGACCTGGATGGGCTGGGGGAGCTGGAGCAGCTGTTTCTGTACAATAACAGCCTGATGTACTTGGATCTGGACGTCTTCCAGGGCCTGAGTGCACTCAGCCATCTCTACCTTGGCTGCAATGAACTTCGTTCTTTTTCTTTCAATGACCTGCATGGTCTGGGTACAGCCCACCTGCGTACCTTAGATCTGTCCTCCAACCGTCTGGGGAACATCTCAATCCCGGAGTTAGCCACACTGCCGGCTTTCCTCAAGAATGGTCTCTACTTGCACAACAACCCCCTGCCCTGTGACTGCCACCTCTACCACCTGCTGTGGCGCTGGCACCAGAGGGGCCTAAGTGCTGTGTGTGACTTTGCTCGTGAATACACATGCTTGGCCTTTAAGGTATCAGAATCCCGTGTACGCTTCTTTGAGCACAGCCGCATTTTCGAGAACTGTTCCACTGCTGCTGCAGCTCCAGCCTTAGAGCGGCCTGAAGAGCAGCTGCACACACAGGTGGGTCGGTCCCTGAGGCTCTACTGCAACACCAGCGCCCCTGCCAAGAGTGTCTCCTGGGTTTCACCACAAAATGAGCTGCTTGTTGCACCAAGATCTCAGGATGGTAGCATTGCTGTGTTGGCTGATGGAAGCTTAGCTATAGGCAGAGTGCAAAAGCAGCATGCAGGCATCTTTGTGTGCCTGGCAACTGGGCCCCACCTGCACCACAGCCAAACATTTGAGTACAATGTGAGTGTGCATGTTCCTCGCCCAGAGCCAGAGGCTTTCAACACAGGCTTCACCACACTACTGGGCTGCATCGTGGGCCTGGTGCTGGTGCTGCTCTACTTGTTTGCACCACCCTGTCGTGGCTGCTGCTGCTGCTGCTATCATCAAGCCTGCCGCAGCCGCCACTGGTGGCGAGCATCTAGTCCACTCCAGGAGCTAAGTGCACAGTCCTCAGTGATCAGTACCACACCGCCCGATGCACCCAGTCGAAAGGCCAGTGTCCACAAGCATGTGGTCTTCCTGGAGCCGGGCAAGAGAGGCCTCAATGGCCGTGTACAACTAGCAGTAGCTGAGGACTTCGATCTATGCAACCCCATGGGCCTGCAGTTCAAGGCTGGCTCTGAGTCAGCCAGTTCCACTGGCTCAGAGGGTCTCATGATGACCTAGGCTCCCTGGGACCTGTACCCAGGCCATAGATATCCTGCTGCAGAGAACTGTCAGGTGCTAGTGGGAAGCACTGTGCCTGGTGCCATAACTGCATGTGGCCTTGACCTGAACCATAATAGTCCTATTAACTGGTAGAGGGGTTGAGGCCCCCAACTTGCCTCCTGCTCTTCCTAGCTCAGAACTTCCAAGGTCTCAGACTGTACAGGTCCTACAAATAACCTGCTTTCCCTCAGATCTTAAGTGCTGAAATGTCCCATGAGGATTGGGGACCAAGCCTATCTAGTAAAACCTCTTGCATTAAAACTCTGGGCTAGCCTCAGGAGCTAATGTAGATATTAGGGTGTGGTACAGAAGAGTTAAGCATACCACCTTTCATTCCTGCCAGGGAACCAGCAACCCACAGAAGAAAGGGGGCCAAGCACAAGAAAATCTAGTGCTTACTCTAGGATGGAAGGAGGAAATGAGCTCTTCCTGTGCTGAAACAGGACTCCCACCTACCACCATTTAGCCTCCCCAAAGCTTCACAACTCCTATGGGGTCTGGTAGGCAGGCATACCTCCCCAGGACATCTGTGGAGCCTGACCTGAGCTTCAACCAGAGAAGCCCTGCTGTCTTCAGCCAAAGGCAGAGCCCATCCATGGGCTCATACTTTAGCAAGAAAAACCTGGTGAATATGGCTAAGCTGGGAGAGCTCAGCTGGAATACTTATATCCCTGGAGGGTGTGAGCCTCTTAAGGACTGGCACTTATCTTAGCCTAATGGCTGATGTGGTATGACTTTACACACCTCTTACTGCTGCCACTGCAGCCAGGCAAGCAGGCAGGGAAGAGAGTCTGGAAGACCCTCCCAAGTGGATGAGCTAGGTGTTCTACGGCTGTCCTAGACTGTGCTATTAAGGAGTTTTGTAATAAAGGCTGTACATGTTCATTGCTGGACCTTTGCAGACAGGTAGTATTGTGTGCTTAGCTTTTAATTCAGAAGGACTGCCCTGACCATCAGAGGATGGCATGCTCCCCAGGTTCTGGCATTTATGCCTTTGCTAGGGGCACAGACAAGTTAAGACCCCTACCCAGGGTCTGGAAAGATGGCTCAGTGGTTAAGAACACTGGTTGTTCTTGCAGAAGATCCAGGTTCAAATCCCAGCACCCACATGGCAGCTAACAACTGCCCGTAACTCCAGTCCCAGGGGATCTGACAGCCTCTTCTGACCTCAATGGGCATTGCATGACATGGGTACACTTACCTACATGCAGGCAATACACACATACACATAAAATATTTTTTTTTTAAAAAAAGAACCCCTACCCAGCCAGAATGACTGCTCTGCCACCTGTTTAAGCAGCTCGAACCTCACTACTTTCCCTCTGCCTCGAAGTGCTCCAAACTGGATGTTGAGGACCATTTTGAGATGAGAAAACAGGTACAATGAAGCCCTGCCTTGCCAGCCCCTCCTCAAAGGGCACAGGCACATACAGCTCCCAGAAAGGGCCAACCATCCCCAACACTTACTCTGAGGCTGGACCATGCACCAGAAGCCGTACCAGGATGCCTGTCACTGCCACCAGGATGGGGTAGTGGTCCACGCTCTCCAGGCCTAAAGAGAGGGAAGGAAGATGAACCACTCATATGCTTTAAACATGGCTGGTATCATCAACCTTTCCCATTGCCTTCATACAGGCAAGCTGAGG